ACAAGAACAATTAATATAAAGCTGCGATTGGCTGCAGGATGATGTGGTGTAGCGTTGCATCACCACTGCCAGCAAACAAGGCAAAGCCAAGTTGCTCCGGCTCCCTCTTATCTATCTTTTGAGATTATGTTTCCAGAGAACTTTTATACAATTACTGGCGACTCTGAAGCTTCAAACTGAGTTCTGCAGTTTTTACACCCAAGGCAGTGTAACAGTGCAGTCCCATCTGACAGCAGCACATACACACACAACAGATCAGTGAGCATCCTCATTAGTTTGGCTCAGTTTGACAGAAGCCTCAACCTCGCTGCCTCCTAATTTTGGACAAGAGGACAACAGGAAACACAGGAGCGAGGGAATGTGTGAGGCGGAGCGTCGGTGTGGACAGATGGCTGAGGGGACAGGAGCAAGGTAAGCAGCTGTGCATGCTAAATAAAGTTTAGCATTACTAAAAGATTGTCACTCAGGGAGAACAGGAGGCTGGAGTTAAAAATAAACTGCAGGAATTTTGAAAAACAAAAAAGAACTTGTTGGTTTTCTGCAGGGAAAAATAAAGCATTCCTTCCACAATCCCAAAACGAAGCCGTCTCTGCAGCGGCGTTTCTCCACTGCTCAGACAAACTCGAGACTTTGAGCAAAGGGAGCTCATGCAGGGAACAGATGGACACCCACCCTCACACTACACCTGACGCCATTCAGCAGCAGAAGGATTCAGAGGGAGTCATGAAATTGTGAGAAATGAAATGTTCCGACACAGAAAAAGCTCCTCTCTGCTGGAGGTTCGACCGCCGGGACAGAAAATGTCACGCGGCTCTTCTCGGTCTGAGGAGACACGAATGGTCTGTGAGCCGGTGTGAAGCCGACCACAGAGACACCGTCATGTGTGTGAAAGGAGAGGAGGGCTCTCTCCGTCCACTTGTGGCTCCTGCTCTCCACCCGTTCAGTCATTCAGTCGAAACCACAACAGAAGAGAGTTACAACTGCAAGGACATAATCACATAGTCTAATAAACATCTGAAAAGCATATGTGCTGATGTTTATTTGGTCACATATTGAATATCTGAACATGTGCCTTCATCACATGTAAATACATGCGAGCTTGTCACGTGATGCTGTTTTGACACGTGCTAAATCACTGATATATGAATGTATGAAATGTGACAGTGTTTCTGACGTCGATGTTTGTGAAATATAATGTGTGAAAATCACATAGAACTGACATGAATGTTCACAAATCACAAGTAGCTGTAAGTCAATGTTTCCCATGTGTGTACAGAAGCCCTGAAGGGCCACGGGGTTTTTTTCTTATGTGAAAACAGGTGAAAAAAAAAAAAGTGTGTGAGGGCAAGCGAAGAAAATCTGTTTTCACAGATGGAAAAATAAAAAATAGAAAAATGATCCTGGCAAAAAAAAACAACACCACATTGCCGCTCGGGGCCTCCATATGTTCCACATGTGATAAACATGTCAAATGTATTTCACATGAATTTAATTCACTTTTGCTTTTTTCCATCAGCGATTTCAGATGAACGTCCTCAACAATCATCAGCTGCCAGAATTCAATGTCAGTAAAAGATTTCTCTTTGAATGAGGATTACCTAGTGTACAGTATGTATTATATACAGTATATATTATATACAGTATGTATTATATACAGTATGTATTATATACAGTATGTACTACGTATATACAGAATGTATTATATACTAATTGTCATAGTGCAGTCTTTTGCATTTGGCTTAAAAATAACTCATGAAAGGACGTAAATAAGCCAAGAGACGAATTGATCATCAACTACATTTATCAAAAAAGTTTTTCTAAAGATTTTATACTTGTCTATTTGTTTTCCAATAAATTCCTCAAACTGTTTCAGGCTGAAATCCTTCACTACGGTCCCTCATGGCTCAAACAGCTGATCTGTAAGTGAGTATATCTGTAAGTACAGGAAGTCTGTTCGTGAGCAGGAATGTGGAAGTTCCACTGTGGCTAAGATGGAAAGGGCTGCACGACAACAAGATGAAGCAAACACTTCAACTGATCTTAGTTTTTTAGTGGCTAAAATCTGTTTTTTCTTCTTCTCCAAACAGGAAGTGCACTGACCCAGACCTACAGCAGGTAAATCAAGTTAACCATTTCACGATATTGGGGGGGGGGGCACATGCACCATTTTCAAGCTGTGAGCAACCAGGACCTTTCTGGCCACACTGGTCCAAATCCAAGCCAAATGGTTTTCCATTGGGCAGCAATGTGTTGCTTCTCAGTAAATCCTCCCTATAATATTTTAAAGTGATCCAGCAGGACAGCATGAAGAGTGTCCATATCTTGTTGTGAATACATTGCATTTCCTTTTAGCTGCTTCACAATAAAAGCCTAGTTGTGTCCCGTTTTAGTGTGACCACACCACATACCCAAAACCCGGTAAGAGTTGGGATGTAGTGCACATCTGGGACACAGCTAAAAACAATTCTGTGTGGCCTGGAGTCAGCCACAAGAAGTTCATGGTGAGTTCGTGTTTGCTAAGAGGCGTTTCAGGAAATGTGAGGGTGAGAGGAAGCTGAGGGGAAGGTTGTGCACCGACAAGGTAAATGACACCAGAGTAACTCTGGAAGTTTGGATCGCAGCCGCTCGTGGCTGATGATGTTTGGAGTTCAGCACAGGGTTGTTTTGTACCCTGCCACACAGATGTGAAGCATCCAGCTGCTCTGACGCTCAGCAACAGCCCCTGACCTCACCTGTCCTCCCCAAGGGCTGCACCGCAACACACACACACACACACACACACACACACACACACACACACAGCTTGCCATATAATTAACGACCAAACACACTTTCTGTCTGTATAATTAAGCGCGGTAACAGGCGCCATGTTTATCTGAGCCAGAGGACGACAACATGACTCCTAAACCTCGTTCTGTCAAACATATACATTCAAATAAAAACAGCTGAGACGCAGCAAAGAAGAAAACATCTGTCCTCAGATGTTTTCTTCATGTGGAAACAGAATTTTCCCACTGACTGGCCAGTGACTGTTTATTTGCGCTGCTTTTTTTTCCCCAGCATTGTTTCTCTCGGCCAGAGCAAACCAAGCTGTGCAAACCTCTTGGAAAAATAACGAAGCTCGGCGTGATTTAAATTCGAACTGCACTGTTTACTTGCTGTTAACCTTAACGCGCCTCCACCTCGGCACGGCGAGCTCCCGCCGGCCCACGGCTTCACCGCTCCGGGCGCTGAAATCCATGCGCAGGGTTTTTTTTTTGGTTTTTTTTTTTTGGATAAATTGAACCCCGGGTCAAGAGACCGGATCAAGTGATTTACTGACAATTTGTTAATCATTAAACGAGGAAGATAAACGACTGTGTGTTGTCAGAAACACTCGGGACAGGAGCGATTTATATCCTTCAATCAGTCGAGGAGAGAAGTCGTATATTATGCAGCTGAAACTGTTCTGCTTTTGTGCATGTGAAGAGTGCTTGTGAGAGAGTGTGAGAGAGAGCGGGGGAGGCTTGGTTAAACTGTTCATTTCCCTCTGCCACCCTGAAGTGATTGTTCTCCAGTGCAATGCTAAAGATAATACCAAGCAGCAACAACATCCAAACCAAACTTCACACCAGTATTTCATTGATTTTAGGATTCAAACCACAGTAATACCTGCCTCTGGGCACAAGGCAGCTGAACAGAGACACTGGAGGAGAAGAATACTGTGGAACAACCCAGGCTCTTGCACATGCTTCACATACTTCTTTTTTTTTTGTCGTGCATCAGCAGACCTTCCCAATCTGTCACGTTTCATTTGTTGTTTTTGCAGCAGAGGAATCAAAGGCTGCAAGGAAACACAGATTAGACTGCACAGATGCCGAACGCTAAACCGTACCCCATGCTGCTGTTGTGACAGATATATCGTCTGTGATATTTGTACAGAGAGCAGGAAAAAACTATTTAAAAGAATCAGGCTTCATAAAACCTAATCATTTTTTTTCTCATTACTCATCTCTGGTGGAGATCATCAGCAGTGTGTTGTGTTTTTTTTTCTGGCTGCATATGAACATCATTGTGAAGTAAGACCTCCTCTAGGGATGAAAACAAACGAAGCAAAAAGCGAAGAGAAAAACAGCTAATTTCATGTAAACAAATACAACGGTTCCTCATTAGAAATGAGAGCGAAGAGAAGCTTCCAGGCTCCTGCAGCTTCGCGCACTTGGAGACAAAGTCGTGATGCCGCGTCGCAGCCGAAGCTGAGCAGCACGTAAATCTGAACAGAATTTATTAAAGCGAGGACAGGTCACATCAGCTGCTGTAATTAGGATAATGAAGAAGAAACACACGTAGAGAGAAAACAGAAGCAGTGGAACCACCTTACATTTACATGGTTGTGGGTTTTTACTGAAAGGGTCAGCCAGCAGGAGACGTTACAGGCACAAACACATTCAGTTAAACATTCGAAAGTAGTGTCAGGTGAAGGAGGCGGCCTCGCAACCCCCACGAGGTAACACACACACACACACACACACACACACACAGACAGAGGGACTGATTTGTGAAGCCAAAATGGATGGGAATAAATCACCGGAGCTCGGCCAACATGGCTGCATACTAATCAGTGTATTACCCATGGGAAAGCTCTGGTCCCCGACTAATGGCTGTGTGTGTGTGTGTGTGTGTGTGTGTGTGTGCGTGTGTGTGTGTGCGTGTGTGTGTGTGCGTGTGTGTGTGTGCGTGTGTGTGCGCGCGTGTGTGTGCGCGCGTGTGTGTGCGCGCGTGTGTGTGTGTGTTGCGGATATGTTCGCGCTGGCGTCGGCCATCAGCTGGACTCCGTGTGAATTGTTTAGGAGGGAAATTGAATGTGGAAACTTTTCACCTCCATTGTGTGTGTTGTTGTTTATCACAGGTGTCACAACACTGGAAGGTTTCAGTTCAGCAGGTGAACAGGGAAGAAGAGCTGATTCAATCTCCTGTGTGACAAAAGAGGAGAAAGAAAGAAGAAAGAAAAGCTTCTCTACCTTTCTGATGGCCTCGACCCAGAGTCACAAAGCCAGAGGAGATGAAGTTGTGAAGGTCGGCTCCTCCGCTGCTCCGCACGCTCTCCTTCCCATAGTGGAGACCTGGACACACACACACACACACACACACACAGATGCACACAGTGTTAGTTTACTCTGATCAGTTTAGCATTAGCAACATTAGCTGCATTAGCAACACAGCTGAAGTGGTTCATTTTTTAAAGATAAACCAGAAAAAAAAAACATTTCTCTTCTGTGTCTCTGAGGTGATGCACCTGATGATGTCATAGTGATGTCATCACAGTCAACAAGATTACTGTAAACCAGGGCTGAATGATAGAAAATCATACTGTGATTGCGATGAGTCACGATTTCAGTTGAAATGGTCTTTTTTTTTTTAAATTTCAATTTCACTGACAAAAATATAAAAATGACGATGATGTGATTTTTGTACCAAACAAACATGTTTCCTTTACATCCGGAGAATATGATCCGAAGCACCACAACGCTCCGTCTGCACGGTGTGTGGTGTATGGATATCTGGCACCTGGTTCCTGTACATGTTCTGTTACTATACATCTTCTGTTGGCGTGTTCAGTTTGTTGAGGGTCAGAGAAACGGAGCGCGGTTGTGGCGGTTAGCTTCACTGTAGCGCGATATCTCAGTTTTGCAACAGCTCTATCAGAAGATATTATAAAAAATATTAATATTAAAGTATTATTGATTATATCTGATTATTACTGATCAGTTTTGGCCCGTACCAGTTGTCGACCACTGACTTTATACAACCTCTTTGACACATAGTCCTCCCCAACACCTGTAAGATAGTTATCTTACCACAACCAGACCAACCAGCTAATTGTCAAAATGTTGCCGATTATTTTTCTGTAACTTTCAGCTCCCCTCCCTGGGCTTCACCTGTGAGATAAAGACTAGAAAAGAAAACAGTGTTTGGGCTTTTCCATCATGCTCTCGACGGCCCCTCTCGTGTCTTCTTCATGGTGTCAAACAGAGCCCCCCCCACCCCCGTGGTGTCATTGTTGAGATGGTTGGAAATGGTGGAAGAAAACATGGTGTGATGATCCTCTGGAAAAAAAAAAAAAGCAATATGTTCCCGCCACCAACACACGGCTGCACTCTGAACTCAATCACAGCTCCGCCTGCGCGGCTCTCACGGCTGCACAGAGAATCTTCTGGGGTTATTTTCCCTCTCCATCAAACCAGCAACTGTGGGAGTGTCACGCACACACGCACGAGCTGTTGTTGTCTTCCTTTGTCACCTTTGTCATTGGTAGGCCCCTCCACGACCCACTGCGACAACCCTCGAATCTGAAAGACCCTTCACCCCCCCCCCTCCTTCCCTTCTCTGTCCTCCCGCTCCCAGCTCATTAAGGTGAGGTAGCGTGAAGAGCCTGCAGGGCGAAGGCTACACATTATGAATTTATCGTCCTTGATATAAAGAAATTCGTGACTTTCACTTCAACGGTGTGCCACGGAGAGCGAGCGAGCGAGCGAGCGCCGGCGTTAGCTGCGCACGCCGAGAATTCATATGGTGATACTTTTTTAATCAAACTTCTTCACTGGACACCTACACCTCTGAATTAGCTATGAGAGTGGAAAAATGTGAATAATAAGATAATTATATCTTGAACCGGGCCGGGTGTGCTGCTGTGTGGCTGGCGTTGGGGAGGTTATCTGACTCCAAGGTCGATTAAGCTTTAACACAGCCAGGCTGAGGTAATTTACATGCTATACTGATTTTATAGCGTTATCAGATGCCGATCTGCTGGAGTGGACATGGAGCTGTGTACGTCGCCTCGATAAAGTCGTTCAGCTGGAGTTTGGCTTCGCGTATCTTCTTATCTTTTATCTTCAGTCTTTAGAGAGAGAAGAAGAAAAAAAGCTTTTTAAATGCCAATCCTGCCAAATACATGTCTCCCCTCTCTCTTAGCCCCGCCCCTGCTCGCTCAGGAAGCTAATGGTGCAGTGCAGCGTCCTGGTCCTCCACACCTGAAACCTCCTCACACATGCACACTGGAGGGGGGGGGGGGCAAAGGTCCGGCTGTATAATAAGGGGCATTAATGAGATCTAGGGCAGAAGACAATTAGCCGGGGTCTCTCAGATGCTGAGCTTTAACACAGCTGCACTCAGGAGGAAGCTTCTATTAAACATGTTGGTGCAGTCAGCATAGAAATGTTTTATGTTTCATGTTTTTAACATGTGGGGGGGGGGGTTTTTAGCTGCACATGTTAAGGATTAATTGGAGGGGCAGAAGTGGGAAGGGGGGGGGGTTGTGTGTCATCGCAGGAGGGCTCAGTGAATATTTGGCCAATAATTAGAGTAATTAAATCAATGTTTTGTTATTTAGGCACAACCTGTTGTTGGAGGGAGAACACACCACACACACACACACACACACACAGAACCACAATAAACAATATCTGAAGGTCATGTCAAAGCTGCTAAATACCTGGAAATGTTATTCTATCATCACAACCTCTAATTGTCCGCAGCAGCTGACCTTTAAGCTCGGGAGGCTGCTGATCTGCCACCGACTCATAACCGACTGCTCAGATCCCTGGAGAGCTGCGTGGGATCTCAGACACTCACTGTACAGAGGCTGAAGGCTTTCCAACTTCCACATGAGCGCGCTTCCCTGACGTCGTCCTTCTCACTCTGATTCCTCTGGTGCAGTAAACGCAGCCTCCATAACTCATAATCCAATTTGCCCGTTCTTTGTGTCTTTACGGGAGTAATTGTTTTTTCCTTTGGTTTCTGTTGAGTGAACGGAGTCGGAGGGAAAACGCAGCTGCCCTCTGCACCACCTGAAAACTATGTTTCATCATTCTGTGCATTAAGGAAATGTCAGGGAGGAAACCAAGCAACACTTTTCAGGCAAATCTTAGCCTGTAGTAAATAAATCATCTTCATCTGAAGAGAGCTGAGGGCCAAACTGCATTACTCAGAGAAGCAGTTATTGTTTACTTTAGCCAACAGCGAACTCCTGTTAAAGTACCCCCCCCCCTCATGGTCTGCTCCCTGTTGTGGCTGTGGGGTGCTCTGTGTTTACACCCCAACCTAAAAGCGGATCTGAGCCCCACAACAATGCAGAGTGGATGTGAATAAAAATAGCAGCTCTTGCGCTGGTCTCGTATTATGCTGTCTGTACTGTTTCTGCTTTAGGCCCCGTTTTTTTTTCTCTTCGTCTTTAAAGGAATATGTTGCTGTAAAATGCAGGCTGGTGTTGCAATGCACTGTGGGTAACATGTCAGCACACAAGGCGTGCAATGTGAAAGAAAAAAAAAAATCAGCATGTGTTATTAGAACGGAGCCTAAACAAAGCTCAGAGGAGAACGTCAGAGAGGAAGTGATTACTGCCGAGAGCGACGGGGACGAGGATCAAAGGAGAAATGGATGTTATTCCCGCTCTTGACGTGAGTTGATAGTGTCCTTTAGCCACTTGCTTTATGAGGTCTCTCCACCTGATTTAAAAGTGTCTCAAAAAAAGAAAAAACCTCTGGAAGTGAAGAGCCGTCCTCAGCAGCAGCAGCAGCAGCAGCAGCAGCGACTCCAGCCGAGGAGCCTCTCCATAAGAGCCTGCCTCCCTGCTCTGTGCCAAATGCCCATTTAGGCGCACATGAATATGCATTTTCTGTGAGAGCGAGTGGGCTCCCTCTCCACAGCGTCGCAGAGCTCCCAATTTATATGCACACATTAACCACGCTTTCGCCCGGGCTGTCACTGCCTTTCATGTCCAACCCCATCAGGACTGCTGTGGTCCCTGATGAAGGGCGGGGGACTGAGACTGAGACTGAGCAGGCGCAAGTTGTGTTCTCTCTCTTTGCAGCCATTGTGTGCAAACAGGCAAAATAGCCGCAGTCCAGCAGAGCGACGGACAGACAGATGAAGTGATGCCCGACCTTTACTGATTATAAACGCATGCAAGGTCGCACTGAAGGCAGCGTGCCACGTGCAGCCGCACATCAGCCCCGCCCCCTGCATGATGGCCGTTAGACATGGACTGATGCAGCGGCTCAATGTTCCCAGTGAGTATTTGAAGGATGTGTGAACACAAATAAAGGTATGCACCGTTTTTTTTATTATTAATCAGAGACGAGGATGCAACTCTCAAATCACCTGTAAGAACGACAGGTATCACTTCCTGTGATGTTTGGCTGACATGACATGTTGCATGTTCCAGCAGAGGTTAATGAGAGTCGGCGTTAACCCTTCAAAGATCCCTCCCATTTATAGATATTCAAATGTTTACATGTCGTTCTGCCTGATGACGTTTCCAATGAATGGAGTGAGGAGGTGAAGGTGTAGTAATCTATAGAAGCGTAATCAATAGATTAGAAACATATTTTATTTTCAGATGCATCTCTAAGCTGTGAGCTCAGTGATGGAGATGCTTTCACTGTAGAGTGCTGACTATTCTAAAGGGAACCTAAAGAGGAACTGAGGAAGCTGATTGGTGGATGTGGTCTCCCTCAGTCTCACTGCACTCAAACCAATCAACCCAATCAGGTTTCAGAAGTAGCTGATAGGTTTCACTAGTGCCAAAGTGCAGCACGTTCCTGGTCCGTGCACAGTAGAATGATCCAGATTCACCATTTAGGATAATTTGAATTTCACAAAGTGTAAGGAACGGCGTATATTGTGTTTGTGATCCTTTGTGTTTCTTATGAAAAGGCAGAGAGCGGAACATGTGACGCCGTCTCCTTTAAGAGTCGCACACAATCACAAACCAGCAGATGAAGTTTTCAGCTTTGTGACGATGATGCGTTTCCTGTTTAAAAGGTTTAACTATCTGAGGAGACGCAGCTGAGGAGAGGAAACGTTCATCCTTCAATTTGACTTCAATTTGAGTTTTTAGCCTGGAAACCCGACCAATCAGTGAGCTCATGGTTGTTCGCTCTCATGGTCTTGCCCCATCAGACGTATTTCTATCCGTCCAGAAACCGGTCGGCCCCAATCACATCCAATAATCTCTCAACCCAAGTCGTCGAGGCGGACGGCCGCCCGCCCTGAGCCTCTGTCGGAGGTTTCTTCCTGTTTTTCCTCCCCACTGTCACCAAGTGGCTCCGTAACATTGTCAGTTCTTGACCTTACCTTGTAAAGTGTCTCGAGATAATGTTCGTCATGATCGATACAAATAAATTGGATTGAAATCTAAAAGGAGCGCCGCTGCAGCATGTTCGTTAACAACCAAGATGGCCGCCACTGATGTGAGCAGGTCTGTTGAATCCGTTATCACGACAGTATTGAACGAACTGGACGTTATGTTTTCTCTAAAAGCAAGTAAAGTCTTTTGTTTATAGTTTTCTTTCGCTCTGCGTCACATGTTCTGCCGCTCTGATTGGTTGGAAACTGAAAATGACCTCGGAGGATTTTCACAATGTGGCACGATGTTGCTCCTTGGCAGCGAGAACATCTGGGTGGAGGTTGGTTGGTTGGTTGAGGGTGAGGATGATCATGATTATTTTAGTGCGGTGTTAGCGACGGCTAACAACACACGCCGCGTCATTTTGGTGCATTAACGTCTGCAGAATGAAAACCTTCAGTTTTCCACCTTGGTGAATTTCCTGGTCTTAATACCCTGCTCACTGAGTCGACACGTCTTTCAGCTTTTCTTTCCATCTCAGCGACTACTTTGTGTTTTTAATATCTCATTATTTTCCATCTGTGTTCCTCTCCCCCAAGTGACTTTGCCTCTCTCTCTCTCAATCTGATAACACCTGCTTTGCCTGAGAACCCGCCGGTGCTGACTGACGTCCTCCAGACTCCTTGTTGTTCCTGCACGGCTTTTCTTTTCTCTTTTTTTAAAGTCGTGTTACCAATTTACGCTCCCTGTCTGTTCTCTGGATTGCGGGGTTAAATCGCACCGTGTGCATGTGCTGCGTCTGATTTGCCCGGTGACTGACTGAGAGGTCATCACTTCCAGCCTGTCAGAGGCTGCGGGGCTGTGCTACCTTGCCAGCCTGTAATTATCTCCACTAGCAGGCCCCTCTTTTTCTCTGCTGCTCTCCTCCCCGCACTCTCTCGCTCAAATCGGATGATTACTGGATGTTAACATCGGAGATTACGCCGCTGAAAGAGCGAACGCAGTGGGTGCTCTTTGGAGGGGAATGCAGAAGTTTACACAGAAATAATGAAAGTGTATCACAGATGCATCACACAGACGCGCTGAGATGGATGTAGGCTAAGGGTTAAACTGCTGAAATCTGCCTCTGAGCTATATTTGACCAACAGTCGTGACACATAAACTCGTAGATGCTTGTGAGGCTTCGGGAGCTGTGAGTGCTCGCTGGAGAGAGGGAGGAGGACTCTTACCGTGGTTGGATTTGGAGGTGTGAACAGGGGTGTAGTGGTTCTTGGATGAGGTTCTGACTGGTGTGTTGTCTTTGGGTGAGCCGTTCATCGCTGCGAAATTCTCACAGTCATATTGCGATATAGGGATGGGCCCCTGCTGCCTCAGGATGTCTGCAAGGGCCCTGCAAACAAGACAAAGAACAACTGTTAATACTGAACCAGAGAGGTGCTTTTTTCTTCTTCTTGTGCAGTGTTTCTCTGTGAGCGCAGCTGAACTGGAGGAAAAACAAAGTGATGGTGTGTGTGCTTCCTGCACGCCGAGCGGCTGCTAATTGTTTAGACAGTGTTGTGCTATTATGGGTAATTCAGGACTGCTCTGTTTCCTCCTCTTCTGTACGGCTGGGAACATGACGAATGTTCATTTGCAGCAGAGACAACGCTGGATGTGCGAGTCTCTCGTCTAATTGGGTTGAATTTGAATGTTTTTCAGATCGCACCAGGTGCATATGGAAGGATGGAGCCCCCGGGGGGGTGGGGGGGCGGGGGGTGGGGCTGAAGCGAGGGAGAAGCAATCACGATGAAAGAAAGTTCAAAAAGTGTTTGTTTGCTTTTTCTGGCAGAGCTTTAGAAAAAGGAAATCAAATTACTTCTGCAGCGCCGCAGCAGCTCAAAGCTTTTGTATGACAAATGTATCACCAGCATAACCTTTGCTTTTAAATTAATATTTTAGCCTCGCCCCTCCTCTCCCTGTTCCTTATTGAATGTGCAGCGGTGCATGCGTGTCACATGACCTTGATACAGTCCCAACGTTAACACTATCCATTATTCACCATCTTAAGATTGCTCAAGTGTTGAATAATGCATCCAATAAAAAAAACTATTCAATCTTAAGGAAATAATGTGTGTCAGCATTTGTTCACTGATGTGTTCGCAGTCTACGACATGTGGGCCACTCATGTATGATGAGGCTCAGACTGTGGCCCCTGGAGGGAACAGGAGCCAGCTGAGGAGGGGAGATGGTATCCCATCAAACCCCCACCTCAACAGCAGGAGGAGGGTGGAGATGGACGGGGTGAGGTTGTGAAGCATGATGTTTGACAGCATGGCTTCCTGATCCTCCATCATGAGCCAAATATCTGAGCTTCAAACATTAGAGACGACATTCCTTTTTTTTTAAATTTCAGCTTAATAGAGGAAAGAATTAAAAAAAAAAATCTTGAATATAAACGAAGAAACATCCAGTCTGAACGCGGGGCATCAGTCCTGCTCACTCCCACACACAACAGATGTACACACACTCTGGCTCCACAAACACCAGCCATCCACAGTCACTGTAGTACACTCCTCTTTCAACTCCTCCGTCATCATTTCATTTCATTTCATTCTTTGGAATTTAACATCTGCTGCCAGTTTAACAGAATCTGATCTGAGCTTCCTTCAGAGAGCGATCTGTCGATGAATTCAAACACTGACAGCCTCGTTTTCACCTCATTGTATCTGATACAGACACAGAAACAGCCTGACCTCAACTTCTGATGGAAACATATGAAGTTACATGGTGGTAGCCTGCATTGAACATGACTGTAGGCCTGGTTAATCCTGACCTTTGACCTCTGTCTACATCAGCCTGTGCATGTGATGGTGCCCTGATGAGAACACAGTGAGCAGAGTACAGCTGGACTCACAGGTATCAAAGTCTCCATCACTCACCTGTGTATGTTCATCTCCTGCGGCGGCTCCGTGGCTTTGTCATAGGCAACTTTGACCGACACCCCCAGCACTATGATGAAGGCTATGATCCCACAGGTGATGTAGACCGCCGTGTTGGTCTGATCCATGCTCGGATCGTACGTTTCCCCGGTCGGGATGGGGGACGGGGCGGCCGTCTGCACCCACACCGGCGTGTGGTAGTTCTTGCAGGCTTTCTGATCCAGCCGGTCCTTCTTGTACTCGCAGCAGAAGCGCAGGTAGCACGTCCCGCAGCAGTACCGGTGGTCTGTGTTGTTGCACTCGAACATCTTGTCATACTGCCCGCTCACGTCGTAGTAGCCCAGGCAGGTGTCGTGCGTGCTGGCGGGCGCCGGCTGCGGGGTCTTCTGCGGCGGGACAGCAGTGGGGACCGCGGTGGCTTTGGGAGCCTTCCTGGACGCCTGCTTGGGTTTTTTGCCGCCCGTCGCGGCGCTCAGCACGCTCAGCGGGTCCAGGTATATGAGCAGCAGCAGAAGGTGCCTTATCCCCATGGTAGTGCGAAGAACTCTACGAGCTTGTGTTCTGGCAAAGACGCTTCAACTCTGGACGCAGGTTCAGTCAGGTGGAAGTTTCGCCATCGAGCTCGGTCTCCTGTGCAGCCGTCATGCTGAATTCAGCGGTGTGCAGACGGTTGTCAAGGACATTTCTCTGCTCTTATTATGCAACAGACAAACTAAAGTCCATCGCGACCCAGCGGGGAGCGGTGGCGGGAGAGCAGCATATCCTGACGGGGAAGGGAGCGGATGGTCGCCCGGGCTCCGTGCGCTCTCCCCCCGGCTGAGCGGGCGCGTCGCTGTCCAAGGTGCTGAATCCCGGAGCCTCCGTCAGTCCTGCGCTATAGTCAAAGTTCGGCTGCAGAAACAAAGAAGCCGAACGGGCTCATTAGGTATTACCCTCACGTCACAGGCGTTATTAATTAACACGCTCGTACGCGACACATTTAACTCATTAACACTGGGTCATTGTTGCAGTTTGCACGAGATATTCAACTTGGAAACACACACATCACAAAAATCGTCTGAACGGACATGTTCTCCTCATGTTAAAGCATTTCACCCTCCAGCCTGCCGCCGCGCTCCGCTCACTGAGGAGACACGACCGCCTCTGTCAGAGTCTCCACGTCAAAACTGAAACGAGCTTTAATGCATTTTTATTTTCTCTTCATATATTGAAAGAGTGGGAGTGTGAGAGCCGCCTACCTCTGTCAGGATACCCGCTGGGGAGTTGCTCTGTCTGGGTTTCCGAAAGTGAGCAGAATATCAGAGCTCCGAGCCCCTCTCTCTCTCCTCTCCTCTCCTCTCTCCCTCTCTCCTCTCTGTACTTCTTCTCTCCTCCTCCTCGGCTCTCTCCCTCCCTCTGTCCCTTACATCACTTCAGTGCTGGCGTCAGAACTCAGCCAAGTATCGGTAAATCCCCCCTCCCTCCTCCCCTCCCTCCCTCACCCATCTCGCCTCCCTCCTCCTCCAAGCAAGAACGAAAGAAAGACAGTCTGGTTATTGGCATTAACACTGCTAAATTAAATGGCTGGACAGACCTGCGTGTTTATTTGCATTCACAATTCCTCGACCTTCTGTGCAGCTGGCTGTTATCATTTTGCAGCTACATGCCTGTAAACAAGCATCGTTTTCAGGATGAAACAGTAATTGGCTGTGGCTCTCTCAGTTAACACGCTCATTATTTCAGATAAAGTCGTTCATTTTGGCCTGAAGCCAAGACATGGCACCTGGGGGATTATGGAGAACTGATAGGGATAAATTACCGGTGAAGTGCGTTTCAACGCTGCTGCACTGAAATGAACCAAAGCTGCAGAGCACACTCCCACAGTCAGCCCCGTTCTCCTTCTGCTGTGCTCACCTACACCCATGCTCACCAGTGTGTTTACAGAGAGCTCTCCAAATAAAGATCTTCACTAATTAACACACCTTCAACCAGAGCTGGGTTACAATGCAGACCCGCACACGCCGCTCTCTCAGCTGTGTTGCACACCACATTTGCACCCATCACAAACTATAGGGAAGGTGTCTTGACATCAGCAGCTACAGAGAGGTGTGGGAGCTGCAGGGTGAGAGCAGGACCTTAAATCGCAGTTAACCGCCTCGGTTGGGAACACATGCGACGTGATGAGAATACAGCACATTGTTTCTGGGGAGTGTTTCTGGCAGGAGGCGGGAGGCTGTAATGATGTGGGCCAAAGGAGCCCCAGCAAAGATCAGAGAAGAGAGAGAGAGAGAGAGAGAGTAAAAGTGCAAAAAAAGGCTTAAGAACTAACCAACATTTACAGCTCAGACAAATAATCAAAAGTCTGAAGCAGTTTTTTGCTCCTGAGAAATTGGTTTTGCAACATTTTGACATTAAAACAAAATTCATGGTCCAGAGAACAACGGTGGTGATCTGTGCTGCAGGAGGGGAAGAAGTAAATGCAGAATAAGTCATGGATGGAAGTTCTACATCATCGTTACTGAGAGGCAGGAAGTGTCGAGTCAGGGCTCTTATTTCTCCAGAGCTACTAGAGGTGGAAGTAAGTCACACATGTGCACGTCACAAGTTACTGTGGTGGGAATTAAGAGAGTCATAAGTTAAATGAAATCCTGAGGATCTTTTTCAGTTTCCACATTTAAATCAGTGAAAGACAGACGTCATGAAACGTTTAATTTAACTGTTGCAGCTGATTACACCTGAAGAATCTGACTGACGTTGGACATTTTGAGGCAAACTAGAATCCAGATTTGTGACTGCAGCCACCAACTGCTACAGTTATTATTATTATCATTATTATTATTGTTATGATGACCTCCACCAAGGGGGTTTTGTTTTCACCTGTGTCCCAGAACTGATCTGAACCAAACTTGGTGGAGGGATGGGGGAGGGGCCAAAGAAGACCTCACTAGTTTTGGTGCAGGTCCGGTTAAAGGGGCAGGAATCACTTTCATGTACTTTAATGTGCAGGACTGTTTGTCCTTGGTGGAGGTATGAACTGCTCTTACTATACATCTGTATGTGGAACCTGCACTTCAATTCAAAAAGCTTTATTGGCATGAACAAAAATATGTTGTTGGCAAAGGAGTTCACAGATTATTTAAATACATTAATTATGAAATATGTGTCACATATTGATGCAGTCCATTCCTATACAATAAAATACAATTTAAAACAATACAGTTTAATAAACATCATACAGATGTGTGGTATATACATATGTTCTCTTCCCTCCCGCAATCCACATGTTAGTATTTTTGGACTTGGCCCCTCCCCATGAGAGCTGGTTGTGTTGTGGTTATCTCACTAGAAATCATCCAATCACCAATCAATCATGTTTCAACAACAAACTGTGAATTAAAAATGCAAATATTTGATTAAAAAAAGTTAAGTCCATTAGAATCGTCTTAAGTCAAAGTCCAGTCTTTTATCAGTGTTGGTAAAACAAGTCCCGACTCCTCAGATTTGTGACTTATATCTGACTCGAGTCAAGTCACGTGACTCAAGTCTGTCACCTCTGTTTTGTACTTAAAGACTGTTCTAATAACTCTATGTAATGTTAAAGGGGATTGCTCCTGGTGACGAACGTACAGACCAGCATCACCCAGCAGGTCCTGTTTGAGACCACACCTCTTGTTTTTGGTTCAGTCTCCCATCAACGACCCTCCTGACACAGAGACGAAGCAGCTGGCTGGTGGACAGAGCGGAGACCAAAACAAAGCTAAAAGGAGAACGAATGTCGGACTTCGCGTCTGTCATTCTGTCGGAAACACAATTCTAAAGGAATAATAATGTTGCTCCACGTGTGATGGATGTGTATAAATAGGAACATTTATATATTATCTGGCTGACATTGGGTGAAGGCAGGGTGCACACTGGACAGGTCTATCACACAATCACAGGGCTGACACATAAAGACAACCAGTCACACTCACATTCACACCTACAGTCAACAATGAACCTAAGCTGCATGTCTGTGGGCGGTGGGAGGAAGCAGGAGGAAACCCACACAGGGACGAGGCGACCACGTGAACTCGATGCGGGCCGTCCGGCAGGTTCGAGCCCACGACCTGAACACGAAGATCGCTATAACAATTTAATGGGGTGATAATATGTTTTGTTGCCCTCAAGTACCTGAAGAAAACCAAGTGAGGTTTCGTGAGTTCATGATTGTGGAGAGAACAAAAATGTTTTATGGCTCACTCACAACATTTACATACTGTAGACAGTATTTACAGCTCCACCCGCCTGGACTCTCAAATCACTGAGCATCATCTGTGTGTGTGTGCGTGTGCATGTGCGTGTGCGTGTGTGTGTGTGCACTCACTTTGGAGAGATGCTAAAAAAAATAAATTCTTTGCACTGAAGCCGCTGTGCAGTATTAGAAGTGGATTGGCTGCCCTCAGCAGGTCAGGAGGTGAGAACACACTAATTAAAGCTGCTCTCTTCAAACTGTCCATCATGACCTGCCCTGTTTTTCTGCAAATGAAAGCACATTCACCACAGCGTTGAAAATCAGCTAATTCAGGGTTGAAATCAAGCTTTAAACCATGAAGTGTGTCCCCAGCTCGGAGGGGTCATCTGCTCTGGGGTCAGTCACGATGGAGCATCATGGTGCAGACTTGGCTGTCATGTTCATTTACAGGCGGAGGTGATTTTCTGTATTTTCTCTATGGCCAAGGGATCACATTGAAAAACCCAAACAAATGTGAATTAATCTGCAGCAGAAAATAATAAATAGTCAAACAAATGCACAATTTCCTCCTGTTTAAGCAGCGCTTGTTAAAAACTGCAGTTTCCACCTTTTTAGTTTTTAAAGGAATTATCAAACCATTTAAAAAAGAAAGTAAATAATTGTGACTCATTAAAAAAAATTACAGCAACAAATGGATGTTTGGGCTGAGAGCCAAAGTCGTCGTAATGAAGTCAGTTTTCTGTCTCCTCATGGGCGTTAATGACAAAAACAAAAATATAGATTAATATAACATTATTTAATAAAAAGGATTGTTGCCATATTCTTTTGTTTTCATTTGATTCCTTTTGATTTGATCTTTTATTCATGGTATAGCTGTGGAGAGCCAATATATAATATACACCCATCATCCATAACATGATGACCACTGACAGGTGAATTGATGTCGTTACAATGGCACGTGTCTGTGTGTGTGTGTGTGTGTGTGTGTGTGTGTGTGTGTGTGTGTGTGTGTGTGTGTGTGTGTGTGTGTGTGTAGGGGGGCTGGGGGGGTATTAAGCAGCAAGTGAACATCGAAGTTCATGTGTTGGAAGCAACAAAATGCAAAAGTCTCCAAACCTGCAGGTCTGGCTGGGTGTTCCTGGTCTGCAGTGGTTAGTACCGAGGTGACCTCAGGAAGGACAGCAGGTGAACCGAATAAAGGCAAAACTGCCCAAAAAAAAAAAAAAATCAGTGCTTCACTGATGCTCTTTGGCGGTCACATGACGCCTCGGAGCAGCTGGAAACTCAGACTGTTTAACGTTTGATTCTTTAGTAACTTAT